GCTGTCAATGTGGTCTTGTGTCCCAGCTCTTCGACCAGTCCAGCAATGGCGTCGGCAACGACGTGGGAATCCTTCTCGTCGCTGCCAGTACTTTGCTTCCCGATGTATGGGATGATCCTAGCGATTTGCTTCGCTTCCTCTGGGTTGCTCGCCTTGAAGTGTACCGTCGGTGCGAGACTGAGGCAGCTGGTGATACCATGCGGAATGCTGTATGTTGCACCAATCGCATGGCCGATGCTGTGACTGAGGCCGACTCCGCCAGTGTACAGGAAGGGGAAGAGTGACGAGTAACAAGCAACGAAAAGCTTGGTTCGCACTTCGGCGTCATTGGGGTTGGCCTTCGATTGTGGTAGGTATGTGAAGAGATCCTTGATAGCTTCCAAAGACATGCGTTTTGTCGGGATCTCGGCGGCGAGAGGGTGGTACATCAGCTCCACTGCGTGGTCCAGTGATCGAATCTGCGAGTGTGTCAGAGATAGGTTCTACTTCAGCGCCTGGGGAGGTGATGAACGTACTCCTGTGCTTGTCCAGAGGTTCAAGGGTGTGTATACAGCAAGTTCACCATCGTATACCACAGCTGAGTTTGATTAGCCTAAGTCTCTCCGACAATCCGACATCGTGCTTACCCTTGGGTACAAGTTCTGGGTTGCTCACGGCAATCTTGTGCTTTTCTTCGGTGGTGAAGCCAGCGTTTTGCGTCGTCTCAGCTACACTCAGTGTTGTTGGTACAGCGATACTAGGTATCCACTTTCCGGTCTCCTCGTGGATATTGTATGCAATGGCTTTGGCTGAGTCGATGGGCGAACCACCGCCTATCGATATGAGTACATCGCATCCGGACTTTGTCATCAGCGCGGTGGCTTCTTTGATATCTCCAATCGGCCTTGCACTTGTCAGCCTGCGCTTGTCATACTTGAACAGCTCTTCACATACGCATGTTGACCGATCTTGCTGAATGTACCACCATGCGCAGAACCAAGTGCCTTCTCGATGTTCTTGATCACGGGAGTCTTCTCGTATAAGGAGCGTCCGGTGATGATGAAGGCCTTTGTAGCACCGAGCTCGGCGATAACATCTGAAAGCTGGCTGCTCGTTCCTATGCGAACATGTAAGTTTTCTTTTCGATCCGCAACCGCAGTCTGCCTACCATTTCCGTATATCATGAGCTTGACGGGCGATGCCCTGTACACTCCCTTGGTAGAGGAGTCAACGCTGCCATTCTGGTACTTGTTCGGGAGCGCCATCGTGTAATGCCTTGTTGAGATCAGTTTGCGCGTGAAAATGTTCGAAGTAAATGGTCGCGTCCGCATGCAAGCTAGATTCGGCAAGCATCATTGCGTTGTTGCCCGAGTCGGCATGGAGGGGTCTCTCGCTCCTGCCCCACACATACACGTCGCCCCGCCACAGCTCTCGCAGCAACCACGATGCGGCACTTTCTCGGCCCTGTGAGATCATACAATAGGCATTCCTGGACCAATGCGACGCGTAGATTGTCAGTTGTTGTGCCAAAATGGCGTCCTTTAGCAAAGCCGCGCGCAATGTGCTGCAGAAAAGCCCCAACGATGTAGTTTTACTTTCTGCGGTCAGGTCGCCAATCAATCGTAGTTTCAAGGGCGGTTACAAAGATGCTCATCCAGAAGACATCCTGATGCCGGTGAGTCTCGGCAGAAGAACACGCTGCACTGTTGCTGAATACAACAGATTATGAAAGCTGCAGTACAGCGAGCTGGCATCGAAAAAGTCGACGTGAACGATGTTATGATTGGGAATGTACTCGCCGAACTGGGCTTCGCGAAGACAGGACGCATGGCGCTCAATCATGCCGGCTTTCCAAACTCCACGACCTTCCATACAGTCAATCGGCAGTGCTCGAGCAGTCTACAAGCCATCACCCACATCTCACACTCGATCATGGTGGGTCAGATTGACGTGGGGCTGGCTGGCGGTGTAGAGAGCATGTCGAGAAACTACAGCTCGCGGGGCATCCCAGCCGATGTCTCACCCACGCTGCTTGGGTCGACCGTCAAAGATGCGCGCGACTGTCTTATGCCTATGGGAATCACGTCTGAGAACGTAGCGGAAAGATACAAGGTTGACAGGAAGTCGCAAGATGAATATGCGGTGCGAAGTCATGGGCGCGCAAGTCGCGCCCAAAAGGAAGGTCGCTTTGATTGGGAGATCGAGCCCGTAACGGTTCAGAGGATGGACGAGGCAACAGGCCAGCCTGCAGGGCACGAAGTCACCAAGGACGACGGCATTCGGCATGGGTTGACTTTTGAGAAAGTGTCGACGCTCAAGCCTGTGTTCGGCGAGAACGGCAAGAGTACCGCAGGCAACTCGTAAGTGGACATGACTCAAAGCTCTCGCAAAGCTGACCTTTCAGATCTCAAATATCGGACGGCGCATCCTCCACCATACTTGCCCGACGTTCGTGGGCTGAAGAGCGTGGATTGAAGCCACTTGGCCGCTTCGTTGGCACTCAGGTCAAGGGTTGCGCCCCCGACGAGATGGGCATTAGCCCGATATACGCCATACCAGCATTGCTGAAGTGGACAGGCGTTGGGCTCAAGGACGTTGACATCATTGAGCTCAACGAGGCGTTCGCAAGCCAGACTATTGCGTGCATTCGGGAGCTGGGTCTCGATGAAGACAGGGTCAATCCGAACGGAGGTGCGATAGCTCTTGGGCATCCCACCGGCGCGACCGGGGCACGGCAGACTGCCACATTGTTCGGCGAGCTGCTACGCCAGGACAAGGAGATAGGTATTGTCAGCATGTGTGCGAGTACCGGCTTAGGCGTTGCTTCGTTGTTCGTTCGAGAGTCGTAGTTCCATAGAAATGCTATAGGCTTTGATGATGAGGATCACGAAAGTGTCGCGTGGGTCACGTGCCAAATGGCTCTAGCCACTTCGAACTGTTGGCGCGGAACGCAGAGGCTGGCCGCTTCCGAGCTTGGAGGCCGGCATTGTCTTCCCCACACGATCCATGGATGCTGGCTGCACCCGCGTCCCACACGTCCACCGCTTCAAGGCCGCTATGTCTTGTATAGTGCTGGAGCTCCTTTTGGAGCTTCACCTCCCCTTCGTAACTCATTGAGGTGCTGCACCCACTGCAACACACATCATGTTCCTGTTTCGACGCGTCCCACTGCGTGCCATCCCCCGGCAAACCACCCTTCGTCTCCAACGGCGATCTCTCGGCAGCGTGAGCGCTATCGACTCAGTAATCTTCCGTACGCTGTTTGGAACCGATGAGATCAGAAAGGTCTTCGACGACAAAGCGTATATCAATCGATGCGTTGATGCTGAGACTGCTTTGGCAAGAGCACAATCAAAATGCAATGTCATACCATCTCATATCGGAGAGATTGTGACGGCCAAAGCTCGCGAAGTCGAACTAGACTACGATAGGCTACGCAACGAAACTGAAATCGTCGGCTACCCCATCTTTCCTTTGGTGCGACAGCTCTCTGCATCGTGCGGTGAGGAGGCTGGGCGATACGTGCATTGGGGAGCAACAACACAGGACATTATGGATCTGGCAAGCATTCTGCAGATGAAGGAGGGTCTCGAGATCGTTGAGCGCACACTCCGCTCCGTCATCAAAAACCTCGAAGACCTGTCAAGAAAGCACCGGGATACGCCCATGGCTGGTCGCACCCATCTTCAACATGCTCTTCCTATCACTTTTGGCCACAAGTGCGCTATTTGGCTATCTGGGTTCCAACGACATCTCGAGCGTCTTGAGCAGCTCAAACCTCGCGCCTTGATGGTACAGTTCGGAGGCGCCGCAGGTTCTTTGGCTTCACTAGGTTCGGGCGATGATGGCATTCGTGTTCGAAAGGAAATGGCAAGAGACCTGGGTCTGACGGATCCTCCGATCACCTGGCACGTCGCCCGAGATGGTGTTGCAGAGATCACCAACTATCTCGCGCTTGTTGGTGGTACCCTCGGCAAGCTTGCCCTAGACATTATCATCATGTCTTCCAATGAGCTCTCGGAAGTGTCAGAGCCCTTTGTACCACACCGCGGTGCTTCCTCAACTATGCCTCAGAAGCGAAATCCCATCTCGAGCGAGGTCATCTTAGCCGCATCGAAGGTCCTGCGATCGAATGCTGGCTTGGTGCTGGATGGCATGGTATCGGACTTCGAGCGTGCTTCCGGTCCATGGCATCTCGAATGGGTGGCCGTCCCGGAGAGCTTCGTTATGGCTGTTGGAGCGCTATACCAAGCTGACTTTGCGCTCTCTGGTCTTGTAGTCAATTCGAAGCAGATGCTCACGAATCTCTACTCCACTAGAGGTCTTATCGTCGCAGAAGCTGTCATGATGGGTCTTGCTCCACACGTCGGTCGGTCAAAAGCGCACGACGTTGTCTACGAGGCTTGCAAAGAAAGCATCGAGAACGACACCAGCTTGTTGGAAGCTCTACAGACACGACCCGAAATTACCGATAAGATCTCGGGCGAAGAGCTGAGCTCGTTGTGCGACGCAAAGAACTATCTAGGCTCATGTGGACTAATGGTGGACGAGGTCTTAGCTGCATCCAAATAGATCACATCCATGTCATTCATCAGGGCACAACAACCGCCATGCGTAGATATGAGGGAGAATCACATTCTGAATGGTCCATCTGAGTCAGCACTATATTCTCGATTGGTGCTCTTCTCAGAAGCAATGAAGAACCCCGCAAGTGCGCCACGTCCACATTACCATGACCTCCATGTGGGAAAGGCTATGGTACTTTCATCTGACGAGTTCCACTAACCCGGTCGCGGCCACTATGTGGGCCTCTCACAGCTCCCGTAGCCCAGTTACCGAAACGGAAACCCCGCTATTATCAGGGTCGGGCCCCGCCACCACATACGATGCGCAGGCCGGACCACCCAAGTGCGGCAGATGTCGGCCTAGCATTCCACGGCCATGGATACTCCAATATAAGGCTGAAATCTTTACATGGTAAGCTAGATCACTCCTACAATCATCGTCATACGCTAAACACCATGCAAGACTTCAAAGAACGCCAGCTCGTTACCGACCCCCAAAAGGCGTTTCACTTCACCGATCTCCAAAGACTGAAGCCAACGCGTGCAAACGATCCTTACGAATACCAAGCAGGATGGGGAAATCGACATCAGTCTGAGGTCATTCCTGGCACTCTACCTGTCGCTCAGAACAACCCTCACGAAGTCCGGTTTGGACTTTACACTGAAGGCATTACGTATTCAGCGTTCGCAGCTCCACGTGCACACAACTTCAGCACTTATATGTACCGGTGTCGACCAGCAGCTGCTCACAGTACGTATTGCGGCAAGTTCTCGCAGGCATTGGCTAACATGTGACAGAGGGTTACATTCCTATCGAGACAAAGTCCAACATCACAAACTGCTTTTTGTCCATCAATCCCAAGGTCGAGACGCTTCCCGAGCAAGCAGAATGGCGTCCGTTCCCACTGCCAAAAGACGATGAGAAGATTGACTTCGCTGATGGCCTGCATACTCTCTGCGGTAGCGGCGACCCAAACATCAAGGAGGGTCTTGCGCTATACGTGTATATGATCAACTCCAGTATGGAGCAGCGAGCATTCTGCAATACCGACGGTGACTTCCTCATCTGCGCCCAACAGGGTAATCTAGATATCAAGACAGAGATGGGCAAGATTTTCCTACAGCCCGGTGAGATCTGTGTCATCCAGCGCGGCATCCGCTTCTGCCTCAATCTAGCACCGGGCACGCCAGTGGCGCGTGGCTACATCACAGAAGTCTGGGGTTCTATGTGGGAGCTTCCTGATCTCGGCCCACTAGGCGGCCACGGTCTTGCCAATCCTCGCGATTTCCTCTACCCGGTAGCTGCTATCGATGATGATTTGCATGTCGATTGGCAGATTGTCAACAAGACGAATGGTCAGCTCGTGGCGATCCAACAAGACCACAGCCCCTTCGACCTTGTCGCATGGCACGGCAATGTCGTACCTTACAAATACGATCTGACGAAGTTCTCGTCACAGAACAGCACATCTATCGACCACACGGATCCTTCGATCTTCACAGTACTCACAGCTAAGTCCCGCGATCCCATGACACCACTCGCAGACTTCCTCTGGTTCGGCCCAAGATGGGATGTTGCGACCAATACTTTCCGGTTACCATACTTCCACCGCAATTCCGCGTCAGAGTTCCTTGCCTGTTTATACGGACAAGGTCTTGGACGAAGCGACGACTTCCAGCCCGGCGGTGGTAGTTTCGAGGGTGGCCACACGCCTCACGGTGGATTCCATGAGGGTTACCAGCACGGCATGCGGATACACGAGAGCCAGCCCGAGAAGATACTGACTGGTAAGCTAAACGCATCGCCGAGTGGTCGAACGCGTACTAACAGCCTCTTAGAACAATTGACCATCATGGTCGAATCGAGCCGTCTATTCCTCTTTACCGAGTACGCTCGTCAAGGCTGCGGAACAATCGAGACCCACGGTACCGATTACAAGGTCTGGGATGCTCTTCCGGACCGCTTCTCCGCCAACAAGAGAGCCCAGGAGTTGCTTGCCCGGATCAAAGACGACAAGATCGCCGAGAAGAAGAGACTTGCACCATACTACTTTGGTGGCTTCTCACATGGCGCAAACACCAGCGACACGGATGGTGTCCACGCGGAGGAGCTCAAGCAATATTTGAGCCCCGAGTCAAAGACCAATGGGACGAACGGCGTCCACGCATGATTGGGTCTCTATTTTCACGGTCTTGAGTGCTCTAGGCGTTTTAGCGATGTAATTTTGCATTCTCCGATACTACATGTACACGATAATTCCAATTCCACGTAATGAGCATCGCAAGTTTTGGCATAGCGAACTAGAAACGTCTGTGCATTCACACTCCATACCCTTTGGCGACCCCACAAGCGTCATGTGGGGCAGGAATTTCAAGAAGTTATGCTCGTGTTCTTTAACATGACCGTGTGTTGGCATGGCAGGTCTGGAGTAAGATCATGTCGTATTCTCTTGGAGCTGTCGCGAAAGCGGCTCAACGCGCGCACTTTCGACATGCGGCTAATCGGATCGCGAGTCGAACGTCGCAAACATGGAGGAGGGACATTGCAACCAAGAGCGACGTAGACAAGCGGATGGTTGAGAAACTACCTTTAGCTGGCATCAAAGTACTGGATATGACGCGGGTGCTTGCAGGAGTATGTAAATGTTTCCCCGACGGAGGATCATGGTCGCTAACATCGGGTAGCCATATTGTACACAGATTCTTGGAGATCTAGGGTAGGCAGTGAATGGAATCTCATACATTACATATGCTGAAGAGCATTCAGAGCGGACGTTATCAAGATCGAGCATCCTACAAGAGGCGACGACACGAGGTCCTGGGGTCCACCAGATGCGCCCTATACCGATGGCATCGAACGCCAATTCCCTGGCGAAAGCGCATACTACCTATCTGTAGATTGTGCCAGCGAGCCTCTCTTCTTCTTCATGCTAAGTCAACACAGGTCAATCGCAACAAGAAGTCGGTCGGGCTAGCTTTCAACAACCCCACCGGTATCTCCATCCTCCATAGACTAGCCCAAGAATGCGATGTCCTCGTCGAAAACTATCTCCCCGGATCACTCGCAAAGTACCAGCTCGACTACGCGACGCTTGCGAAGCTCAATCCCTCTCTGATATACGCGTCTGTCACCGGCTATGGGCAAACAGGGCCATACCGCGACCGCGCGGGCTACGACGTCATGGTTGAGGCCGAGATGGGCTTGATGCATATCACTGGCGAGCGCGACGGGCCCCCAGTCAAGGTCGGCGTGGCGGTGACGGATATCATGACCGGGATGTACACTGCGATCGGCATACAAGCAGCGTTGTATTCGCGGAAAGAGACCGGCTTAGGTCAGTGGATCGACGCGAGTTTGAGCGACGTGCAGGTATCGGGTTTGGCGAACATTGCCAGCAGCGCGCTGGTGACAGGGAAGGGCGATAGCGGACGATGGGGAACTGCACACGGTGAGCGCATACATGAGCTATTCGCCAGAATGGCGATGCTGATTCCACCACAGCAACAGTAGTACCCTACCGAGCCTACAAGACAAAAGACACCAACATCGCAGTCGGCGGCTGCAACGACCGCCTATACGGCATCCTCTGCGACAAGCTCCAGCGTCCAGAATGGAAAACCGATCCCCGCTTCCTCACGAACGCGCTCCGCGTCAAGCACCGTACCGAGATCGACACGCTTGTAGAGGCCGAGCTCATGACCAAGACAACGCAGGAATGGCTCGAAATCTTTGAAGGAAGCGGGATGCCATACGCGGCTGTCAACGATATCAAGGGCACGGTCGAGCACGAGCATGTTCTTGCGCGTAATATGATCGAAGAGGTTGAGCACCCTGCTGTGGGCAAGGTGAAGCTTGTCAATCATCCGGTCAAATATTCGAGAGCAGAGCCGCGGATCAGAAGTCCGCCACCGTTGTTGGGTCAGCACACGGATGAGATATTGAGGGACGTACTGGGGTACGACGAAGCCGGTATCAGAGAGCTGAGAGAGAAGAAGGTAGTCGCGTAGACGGTGGCGTAGTAGTCGCGTACCCCAGTATTCCAAATCCCCATCGCGAAAGACGCGTCCGAAAACAAACAACTAGAGTACCAAGCGCGAGCACACACGTCCTCACATGATTCAGACAACTTCATCTCCGAGGTCCGATTCTTCCGACGCATTGGGACACAACTGTCCGAGAGTCAGCCACCGAAATTTCCTGAGCCGCGTGTCGATTGTCAGCAAAGTGACGTTTCGCGTAGGCCCCACATCTCACCGGAACGCCTGGCCCCACATGCGCCATCAGTATGCACCCCACAACGTCCTTCACGCGACACGCTCTTGGCCATATCGCGGGTGTATTGTGCCCTGCATGTGCCATGTGGTCTTGATATTGCAAGAGCCGTTCGTGTGGAATGATGGAGGTAGTGGGGATGGGAGGCGGACTGGTAGTGTGGTGGAAAGTCTGCATGGCTGGTAACGGCGTGCTGAACGCGTGAAAGTACAGAGTACACAGTTCCAACATGGCGACCAAGAAGGTTATCGTTGGGAATGGCAACGATGCAACGCCACTGCCTTTCCGCTATCAATTTGCTGCTGGGGCTGTAGCTGGGATCTCGGAGATTTTAGTAATGTGAGATTGTCTTGGTATTGGAGGTCAGAAGAGAGTGCTAAGAGTGTAGAAAGGTACCCGCTTGATGTAGTCAAAACCCGAATTCAACTCCAGCATGGCAAAGTCGTCGATGGTGAAGGATACAATGGTGTTCTGGACTGCTTCCGAAAGATCATTCGCAATGAAGGTGTATCAAGACTATATCGTGGCATCACTGCGCCTATACTGATGGAGGTTCCCAAGCGGTACGACCCGAGTTCATGTCTTCGTCGATTGCGACTGATTGAAAACAGCGCTATCAAATTCTCCGCAAATGACTCCTTCTCGCAGTTCTATCAACGCCTCTTCTCAGCCCCGAGCCTGACCCAACCTCTCGCCATCCTCACCGGTGCCAGCGCTGGCGCAACCGAGTCTCTTGTTGTCGTTCCCTTCGAGCTCCTCAAGATCCGACTTCAAGACAAGACATCCGCGTCACGCTACAATGGGCTGCTTGACTGTCTTGTTAAGGTCGTCCGTCAAGAAGGTCCATTGGCATTATACAACGGCTTCGAAGCTACTCTGTGGCGACATATTGTATGGAATGCTGGGTACTTTGGCTGCATCTTCCAGGTACGGGCTCAGCTGCCTGCCCCGGCAACCTCGAGCAATCCAAGAAGGCAGAAGATGGGGAACGACCTCATAGCAGGGTTCGTAGGCGGTGTTGTAGGGACCACGTTCAACACACCACTAGATGTTGTCAAGAGTCGTATACAGAGCGTTGCCAAGACGCCTGGTGTAAGACAAAAGTACGCCTGGGCGTGGCCGAGCTTGGGGGTTGTTGCGAGGGAAGAAGGGTTCAGAGCGTTGTACAAGGGCTATGTGGCGAAGATCTTAAGGTTTGGACCTGGTGGTGGCGTATTGTTGGTGGTGTATTCCGCAGTGTTGGACATGTTCGCCAAGGTGGCATAGACATTCTCGTGTTCTGAAAATGGAAGTATCGGTGCGAATGATCTCCGACTTTCCGTTCTACTCATGATGATGTGCTTCGCTTGCCTATTTTTGATACTGATATCGGAGTTTTCAATACATCGCCGAAGGCAGAGGATATCTAACCATGGCCAACTGCATGCCCCTGCGTATTGACCAAACATTCAATACTGTACAGCCTCACAATCTCATCGAGCTAGGCAAGGACATGTCGCACACTTACTAGTACCTGGCGCTGTGCTTGTAGCGATTCAGTGTCGATTAGTTGATTACTTATCTGAGACGCCATTGTCTGATGTGCGACCCTCTAGCGGAAGATTGACGCAACGAAACGCAGCTAGCCGACATCCAAAGTAGCAATTGATTGATTGTACGCACCAGATCAAGCAGAGCTAGCCACCTTAATGAGGCGAATGAGACAGTGGATGATTCCAACAACGGTCAGCAGTCAGGGGAGGCCCCACTAGCGTACGCCTCATAGTCCCACATGCGAGTCGATCCGGGGTTGGTGTAGGACGAAATCCTTCGAGAAGTCTGGTGATTTGAGGGCGATTCAAAGGATCATTTACCTCGTCATCCAACGGCCGTGATAAGGCACGGAGCGATCGGTGGTGCTAGGAGCTGGTACGGTGTTTGGCGATCAGATGAGGGTCCCGAGCGCCGGAGGTATCTCCAAGCGGCGAATATGGACCACCAACGTAAGGATCAGCTGTAGTCTTCGGATGCGCAGATGTGCGCGCGGCGCAATCTGCAGCAGCAGGATTGCAGGTTTATATGCATTTTGTAGATGAGTTGAGATGAGCCTATAATGCTTAGGCCGAGTCATGGTCTTGCTTTCCCCCGCAGCCGCGATCGCTTGGCGACCGACAGCACCTGCAGACTCCGGCCTGCGAAGGGTCCTCCGATCATCAGCCAACACATCAAATCTTTGCGACGAGCGACATGGCGTTAAAGCAGTGCAGCATGTGCGATCGCACATTCACCAAGTGTACGTGGCTGCCGAACGCGTGTAGAAAGTGTACTGACCCCGATTCCAGTAGAGCACGTGAAGCGGCACGAGCGGTCCCGTTCGTCCATCTCAAACCTCCATCATCAGCAGTGAGCTAAACACCATCTCAGACACACGAGAGCGCCCCTATGAGTGCCCGACATGCAAAAAGCACTTCTCGCGCAGGTGAGGCCCCCAATGAAAAACCTCCGTACTAGCGTCCAACCTCTTCATATAGCGATGTCCTGTTTCGGCACTGCAAAGGCCATGCGCAGAATGCGATGAACCGGATGAAGAGCAATGAACAACAAAACACCAACGACCAGCAAGAGTTCCGACACAACTCCATGGACGAGAATCAAACATCACGACCATCTGCCTCACGGAACGTAAACGGCCCGACTCCAGCAGCAACACCATTAATCCGCGAAGACTCCAACTTCTCGCCCATGTCCAGGAGGAGAGAGTCGCAAATACCGCAGATCAATGTGAATAACCACTACAATGCGCATCTATCACCTCCCACGGATGGCCGTCATTCTTCATCGCGGTTACAACCGCCGTCACCCGGTGAGGACCGGATCGAAGCGCTGATCAACGCGGCCCAACATCTGGAGCCTGGAGCAGACACACCCTGGCGGTCACCATCGCCTATGATTATCGCGCGTGCCGAGAATGTCCAGATGTCGAATCGAAATCCTCATGAGAGTATGGGTCCACCTATTGACCCAGCTATGGAAGCCCTCTCGTTCTCGCCAGCCGGTCATGTCTCAAGTTTGGACCAGTGGGCTTTCGAACTCGTTCAGAGCAACAACCCAGTCCCCAATCGCACTCCTGCAGATGCGTTACAAACGTGGCTGTTTCCGCTCGAGGGCGATATGAACACTCCCCAAGGATCGCATCACCTCGGCGTGGAAGGCTTTTTCGAGCACGGAGCATTCCAAGCACTCCCAGAGAACCAGGCCAGTCCATCGGGCAGCAGTGTTTCAATAGCAAGCAGGGTGCCGCGAGAACGATTCCAGCGAGTCCAAAGTTGTTGGCCCTCCCGGAATCGCAAATCCTCCCGGCTTATGCCCGATCTGTGGCAGAACCTTGTAGCGTGTGAATGTACCAACATACTGTCGGAGGTCGGCTCTGGAGCTATGGAGACACCTATGAGTGAAAGAGAGCGGCGGAACTCGCGATGGGGATTGGATGAGGAGTGCAGAGGCAGACTCCAAAGCGCCTTGCACAACTTACCGGCATCTAATCCACCAAGATCCGAATCATATGGCGACACTGCGTCTTCGAGCGGGGATGCCGCAGGAAGTCCGAGCATCGAAGGTGTACAATTCCCCCCCGCCGAGATCTTAGACATCGCTCTAGAGATGTATCTCTACTACTTCCACCCAACCCTTCCGATTATCCACATTCCGACGTTCTCTGCAAAGAATGCGCCACGGCCATTACTTCTTTGCATGTGTCTCATCGGCCTGAGCATTCTTGGTACCGCAGGTGCAGCCAAGTTTGTCACTCGCACATTCCCGGTAAGCAACGCGAGAGCTGTACATCTCACATATACTGACCCTTGATAAGGCTGTGTTACAACTCGCGTTGGCCGAGCTACAGACCCTTCCAACAACAGATCATCCGCCGCATCGGCAAATGCGGATAATTGCCACTAGCTTGCTAGCCTTGAATCTAGCGTCTATCACAGGAGTAGGTAGCACTCATCGATCATGCAAGTCATGAGCTAACGTTCATGCAGCGGAAAAGCCGTATTGCGCAGGCAGAGAAGATGTATGCAGAGCTTATCGGGGTATGTGGCAATTTGTACTACGCTTTCGGACGTAAGACTAACATTCGTAGTTTGCGCAAAGTCAAGGTCTCTTCTCCGCCAACGAGGGTGTGAAGATAGATCCTCTCTTGGATGAGATGATCGATATCGACTCAAAGTGGAAGGCTTGGTCAAAGGTCGAATGCAGCAAACGCATCATCTTTGGTCTTATCGAAGCAGACTGCTGGTGGGCAGGCTACCTCTCGACAGCACCAATGATTCGCCCCGAGACAGTCCAGATTCTGCCGCCCTCAGATTACTCGCTCTACCACGTCAACAGTGCGGCGAAGTGGTTTCATCTCGTACAGCGCGGTGCGAGGATACACTCACAGAGGATAACACCATCGTTCCATCCGACCCCAGGCCTGAAGCTCGACGCGTCAAGTTTCCGATCATTATTGACTCTCCTCTTACTACGCATCTACGAGAGCAACGACAGGCTTGCTCCCGCGACAGGAAACCAGAAGCAGCTCGAGCCTTGGCGGATATACGCCGAAGATGCGCGGAGTCGAGATATCCTTCCCTTGCTGGTGAACCTCTCCGGTTCTTCAATAGACGCGCTTCGTACTGCGGATCTGAACTCTGCCGTCCTTTGGCACGCCTCCTGCATGGTGCTCGGAGCGAATATACGCTACTTTGAACTCGCA